CACAAAGCTTTGCCCACGGTATACGATCTGACACTTTTTGTTTTAGTTTCGGTGAGTCAGTCCGCGTAGTTCACGGTCTTGGGGAGCCCTGGAGCAATGAGATGGGTGCCGCTATGCTGTCTGCGTTCACCTTCACCCAGACGCGTACATCGCTCACCGAGGTAAGTTGCAGTTAATCCTTTTGTTCCCTGCTCTGCCGCTTTGTCTCACGCCTTTGCGTTGGCATGCAAACTCCTGGTTGAAATTCGCGCAATTTCAAGTTTCCAGTTTGCAGTGGGAACGCAAAAAAGTCATCTTTAACCTTCTGTATTATTGTCGTTTATGCAACTTCAGCTCCTGCTCACGGCCCTCTCCATAATGCAATCAGCTGGACCGGGAAGCTCTGCGAACAAGTTACCCACCAGCCAACTCCTGCTCATTCTGTCCGACGGTGTATTCTCCGAGGACCCACAAAGCGCCACGCTGCAGGCTGCAGTACGGATGGCCCGTGATGCGCATCTCTTCGTTGTCTGCATAATCATTGACGATGCCAGGAAGAAGGTACGAGCACGCATGCTTTTGTGCCGTATTTTTTTCTGTTGGGATCGGATGGTGACTTAAGGAGAGCTGGTTTGTAATTACTGGATGACCTGAATGCCCTGTTTTTGTCTTCTCTTTTTGTGGGGCTTAAGTTGGGCGCTGTCAGTCAACCCTCTCCAGGTTCACCTGCAGGGCTATGAAAGCGGGCGTATTAATGCAGTTGGGACAGCACCTGTGGGCCAGAGTTTTACAGCTGCTGCATCACCTGCCCCATACCTTGCCTCGAAGCCACAAACACCGCACGGGTCTTCGGAATTCCGGACCTCTGCGTGATGTACTGAAGGGGTTTTGCCACTTTCAGATACTCGATGTCTTTCGGGTTAGATTAGGCGCGCACGCTCCCATCTGGGTGCCGAATGCGCTGGTGAGATTAGCATCCGCAAGTGCGTGCTTACTGCAGTCCTGCTGGCCTTTTAAGTGTTATCCGTTAGAGTCAATAATTTTACCTTTGCGTCGATATCATGCGGCTGGCAGCCCACCTGCCTCCCCCCGTTCCCTCCTCCCTCACGTATCTGCACCCCTTTCAGCACTCAATATTTGATCTTCGGAGGTATGCCGGTCCTGGCCGCCTGTTGCCATACATGGACGTCTTTCCCCTGCCCTACTACCTCGTTCTGCGCGACGTGACTGCCCTGCCTCAACTACTCGCGGACGCTTTACGCCAGTGGTTCGAACTGGCGTCAGCCTCCTAACACCGAACCCCCCTTGCCTCACCCCTTCACTTTTCTATGACTTCATGGGATCTAAATCATACCTACAGATGAGATTTTGTGCAAAATAAACGCCTATTTTCGCTGTTTTTACTTCCTGTTACATGATAACATAGAAGAAATTGGGTCTCCTGTCAGGATAGGCAATTTTGTTGTGTAAGGATGCGCCGGAAATTAGGCTCCCTCACTTTCCCTGACTACTGTTATCAAATCAGGAACCGGCAGCTCACGCCAGCTGTTTTTTGGCCTTTCGTGTCTAGTTTGTCCCGAAGACTTAGGGGTTGTGTTTCCTGCAGGCACTTTCCCGGGCGCGTATGGGCACAAGAGATGCGCTGTAACCAACTGAAAACTTCGGACCTGTAAATAGGGGAATCTTCATCGCGAAGGGTTCTTCAGTTCAGTTCAGTTTTATCAAGGGAAAGGTAGGCGAACGCCTTTGAACACCCTATGGGTTACAATAACGTTACAAAAAAACCACACGTAAGGAAATTTGGAAAGAGGAGTAAGTAAATAAGTACGTGCAACGAGCACTTGGTGTATGTGTCGGTGTATGCACGCTGTGTCAAAATTTCGAAATTTCCAAAGCTCGTTGCTGCGGCGGTCCAAGTTGTACGGAGGCGAACGCTCAGGCTTCGGTCGGAGTCCGTTGGGTCGCACGTAGCCATCCGAAGGGGTATTTGACGAAGGAGTTATAAAATAATGTTGCTAAAACGGAGTAGTATACCTTGTGGCCTATAACCGGGAAGGGTGCTACAAAGGGGTGATTTGTTAGTTTTTGATGGCATGGTACATGTTTCTGTACTCGTCCTGCTTACTCTTAGATATGTCCACGGATGAGGACCTGACGACGTCCACAGGCGGAGCGTTCCGGGCCCTACTCAATCTGGCTGAAGAGATTTCCTTGCGTCCACTCTTGCCCCAGTCGTGCATAGTTTGAGAGGATGCCGTCCCAAGCTACTAGTGGTGGCCGGTTCGAAGAGGTCGTCGGATGCGAGGCAACAATCCTGGCCTCGCGGCATGCGAAGAGCTTGAATTTAGTTGCCACGTAGCGGTCTGTAGTTCAGGGGAAAGAGGTCAATATTGGAAAGCACGGTTTCGTGAGGTAGGTTGCTTTGGCCTCTGACAAGCTTGGTTGTCCGTCAAACTTTCGAGGGTGGTGCAGTCTTTGACAGACCAGGGTCTTCAGGCCTGAATGGCGAATTCCAACTGTGGTCTCGCTAACATCCCTAAGGCATTACCATAGCACACTTACTCGAACTTCGCAAATGCCCGCTTGATGTGACATAAACTTGACTAGGATTTCGCTGCCTAGAGCAGTGGAATGATAGTTTAAGTGGGATTGTGATCCACGCGCCAAGATAATTCTGAACCTTTATCTCTGGCCGCGGTGTGTGATTTGGATTTAGTGCGCAGAGCTTGTTCTGACGATTCGCAGAATCGATAGTAGTGAAAATGCGATTCCCAGGTGGTAAATCAAAAGAAAAGGAGGCGTTCCTCGGGAGATGACTGTTGGAGGTCTGACGTTTCGAGTAGTTGCTTCATCTTCCCATCCTCAAAGACTGGGAAGTTATGCGCATAACTCTCCTTATATGGCGCACTTTGTTTGATGCGGGGCCCGCCAATTGCGCCTGTGTGGCTGCATCCGACCGGCATGTCACCGTGACCTAAATCGTCCCAGCCCTCGTCGGCCGCGGAGATATTTGACGGCCCTGATTGTCTCGCGCCGTAACTGTACCTCGTTAAGAAGGTTCGTAAAGTCAGATAGGGGAGAGGCAAATTGATGTGGCGGTTGACAGAGCAGTCGGTGGACGTCCAGGCCTTTCGCACCTGCTTCGGCGTATGATCATCACCTCGGCCCACAGTCTCAGCGGCCTCAAAGTTAAAGTTGTGTCCCATTTGCGCTCCATGGGTTGCTACCTCTGATTCTGGGTCCAATCTTCGCACGGCCAACTTATGCTCGTGCATTCGCGTTTGTAGCCATCGGCCGGTTTCCCCAGTGTAGTCGCACTTCTCGCAGCTGCATTGCAGTCGGTAGACAACGGCCGACATCTGCTTAGGGATCGGGCCTTTTGGATACATCACTTTCCGACGGATCGTTGAGTCGGGCCTGTGGGCACGCCCATTCCGAGCGGCGCGAGTGATCTATCCACGGCTTCGGAGACACCTTTCATCTACGGAATGCTCCGCCACGATTGTAGCTGACTATGTTTTTCATTCCGCTTTCTTGGTTGCCTTCGACTCCGTTCAACGAATGCTCACGGTTAGCCGTTGGCTCAGAATAGTTCTTGGCGGAACTTCGTCTCATCCAGTTTGGCGGCTGGCATGCTGCAATGAGTTTCCTACACTCGATTTAGCGTGCGTATACAGCTTCGTTTGTGTTGCAGTGGTGGTTGCTTTTGTAACTGACCATTTGCAGTGTTTTCGCCGGTTTTCTGGAGACTGACGTCGCCAGTTTGTCGTTTGGTTGAGGCAGACGAGAACATCCAAGAATGGTGTTTGTCCTCCACTTCCTCTCCCATCGCGAATTGCTGATCGGCAACTGTTGAGTTCAGCAGCTCTTCATTGTATTTAATCTTATCCTGATCGATGATTACAAGGTTATCATCAACGTAGCGCGCCCCAAACCTGGGTTTGTACTTCTCGAACAGTCGCTTCTCGAGTTTTTGCGGGACCGCCTTGACAATGGGCCCTGAGATTGGTGAACCCATCGGAGTGCCCTTTATGTGCTCATGTGTGATCCCCTCGAAGGTAAAAGATGTATCGAGGCAGTGCCCCATGAGTTCTATGAGATCCTGAGCTGCGGACTGGCCATCGTCCTCAGCGTAATTTTGACGTAGCAGGTCACTGGGCGTCTCGACCGCAGGGGTCTCTGGTATGGACGTGAAGAGTGAGATGACATCATTCTGTCATTCGGTTCGATCGTGACCGATCGATCCGCGTCCGACGAGGGCGGGGCAATTTATGTCACGGTGACATGCCGGTCGGATGCAGCCACACGGGTGCCATTGGCGGGCCACGCATCAAAGTGCGCATGAATTCCCAGTCTTTGAAAATGGGTAGATGAAACAACTACTCGAAACGTCAGACCTCCAATAGACCTCTCCCGGTGAACGCTTCCTTTTCTTTTGATACGCAGAATGTTGCGTTTGGTGACATCGAACATGAGGAGACAGTGTTTTGACCATTGCTCGAGTCGCTTCAAGTTTGCCCGTAGATTCGCCTTATCGTCCTCATTGCGGTGACGTTCCAGAGCTTTATGTCGTCAGCAAACATGGCGATGTCGCAGTCTAACCCACGGTTGCAGTCATAAATATATATAAGGAAGAGGAAAGAACAAAGAACGAATCCCTGAAGAATTCCAATCTCAACGTCGCCCGAGTCGACTGTTGGTCACCAAGACGGACAATCTGAGATTTACCAATCAAGAAATTTGCGACACATTTCAAAAGCTTGCATTTTACACCTATGCGTCTGAGCCTGTATTGGAGACGTTGACCTGGCACACTATCAAAGGCCTTCTTGAGGTCTATTCAGGCTAAATGCACCACATTTTCTCTATCAATCGTTTGGGTCTAGCGTTCTAGACTGTAGGGCAAATTGATCAGGCAGAACCCTCCTCTACGGAATTCATGCTGCGCATCATGCAGAAGAGTATGTTGCTCTGAACACTGTATCAGTTTGCGTGTGATAATTCACTCCATAAATGTGAAACATATGGTTGGTTGAAATCCTGGTTATTTGTTGTGTGGACCAGGGGGTGTGGTGGAACGCCAAGGTGAGGATCCGTCCGAGCCATTAACCTGCGGCCTCTCTCGTCTCCGGTCTTCTTGACTCTGTCTTGACACCGGGCTCGGGCGAGGGAGGAGAGAGTGCAGGTAGATGCTACGCAAGTCTACCGGCACTATAAACCCCTGCGTAAGTCACCGTCCCTGCTCCCATTGCTGCTGCAACTGTGGGGCACACGGTGGACATCATCAAAACCGATGGTCGAACTGTCATAGGGCGTGAAATCGCACAGATCTGCTAATCTGACTTCTAAGAATTGACTAAACGTCTGATTATCTGAAAATAACCTGTTTGTTAGCAAGCGGATTCCCACAGTTAGTACCAGACAAAAAATCAACGTTCAAGTGCGGCAAGATCTGTTTAGTAAAACTCCCGAGGGTAAATTACTCTCCTCTCAAAGAAAAACACGCTCAGATGCGCAAACGGGGTCTAGGACCGGTATTAGCATGGGAAATTGCCCAGCTTTATCGCAATGTCCACTTTCGCTCAAATTCAAGAATATTTTGCATGATAAAATTACGCGTCACATGTTCTGCAAAAGAAAAGGACATTTCATTGAAGAGGCTGGATGAGTTAGCAAAGTGGGTAAAGTTTTGGACCTCCGGAGATTCTCATATCAGTTTTTCATCAGGTTTCATAAGAGGTCACGTACTGCAAATAGATGCTGTCTTTTTGTCATCCTTGGAAAGTTCAACACCAGCATCCATTTTAAAATAGAAGCGGGGATCCTTACCGCAAGTGCTTTGTCCTATATAGTTGTGGAAACGCCTTGAGTTCTCTCCTGAACCGTTTAGCAGAGTGCTCTAGAAGTTTTGTCGTGTTTTATAAACAGCGCCTTACCCATTTCTCTAAGCCTTGTACTTATTCACTGACCCGATGTTCTTCTCCCTGAGATAAGTTTTCCAGGGCTTTCGCTTGTGGTCCACTTCTCTCTTCAGTGTGCCCTTTAGCCATCGAGGCTTGCCGATAATCACATTTTCCTATCTAGGGCAGAAACTGGTAACAAGTCCATGACATGAGGCCTTAAATTCTAAGCACTCTTTAAGAACACATTCGGTAAATGCTGCTTTCCAGTCCATACGACGAATGTTGATTTTCATTTGGTAAAAATTTCCACGCCATGTTGGAGCTGACCGTAATGGGTCCCGATTGTGAGTCAAATTATTTCAGTTGTGCGTGCGAGCTTTGCCCTTTTTTCTGACAAAGGCAAACCAAACTTGACATATGTGAGCCCACCCCCACCCCGCCGTCTCACTCTACCCTTTCTAAACAAGCCAAAATCGGAGAGAGCGACTTCACGATCATCTACGTTAGTGGAGAGCCACGTTTCAATTATAAATATGACATCTGGCAAGGTTTGGCTTACGAAAATTTTAGGATTATTTTATTTAGATAGCAGACTTTGCGCATTGATACATAAACATTTTTGTTTTTTGCCTGTGTGAAGCCGGTTATGCCGCCACCTTTGTCATTTGTTTCAGCTGTGGCGACATACGCATATGAGTCCATATAAACCGGGACATCCACCCGATTATGTCCTTGTTAAATAGAGCCACGTTTTAGGCAGAATGCTACTACTGACAAAGACAAGAGGGGACAAGGTTTTGTCCTCCGCTCCTCTGTCGCAGCCTGAGCTCCTGGACCAACTGCTGACGTTTTAGCGGCTCCAGCGGTGCGTAATCCGGCTGAGAAAACTCCTTGGTGGGAATATTTTGAGGGGATGAGATCAACCTGCTCTTTGTAGCTCAGAGCAGTTATGAGAGGCCTAGTATGCGGTGGGATGGAAGGTTGAGTAGGGAACTTTCCCAGCCTAAAGGCTTTTAATACGGAAATTTCTACGTTGGGCTGGAGCAGTGAGTTCAAAAGACCTTAGAACACGTCAAGATCCGCTAGAAATGGTTTGGCGACCATCGCAGCTCCGTTTAGGGTATTTGATGTTTAATGTTCGGAATGCAGCACTTTTCCTGCACTTTCTACGACATCTGTGCGGGAGTTCTTTCAGATTCCTCCATTATGTGGGGCATTGATCTCCGCTGCGGCCTGTCGAGACCGCACCGAGCACATCCTTTTCCCTGGGAGCCGATCTAAACAATGTAATGGAGGACGGACGGCCCGCCTACTAACGGTCAACAGGCTTCGACGTGGGCAGCATCTGTTTGCGCATAATATCCGTTGTTTACAGAAAACAGAAAAAAACATCCTAGACAGGAACCAGATCGCAACACTTCAGAGGACCCCAGATTGGTTATTAATAGTCATACATGCCAGGACTACTTTTATAGAATAACCGAAACCAGTCCCATAGTGGTAGAGCTTTCTTGATATGTAGCGACTCATGCCTAAGCTGGCTGTAAGTGCCAACAACAGGTCACTGAGATTTCAGTCCAGCGAGACCTCCCAATCCGCTGCATCAGCCTCCGACACGTGACCGACGTGTAGAAATGTGGTGCGACTGTGATCATGCCTGCCCTGCCCGACCTCGGCCTGCTGTGTACTCATAGCCACTCAGCACCACTCAAACATTTCGGCCAACAGGGCTTGATCTCAAGATTTAACTAGTGTGAATGTTGAATTTTAAAGCTCACCGCCTGCTTGTACTTGGTGCGGCTGTGATCATGCCTGATCTGTCCAACCTCGATGATGTCATTGTACTTCTCCACACGGAATGATTCGCGACAACGAATCTGGACTGCTAGACCTATTCTCTTTTCCAGCAACAGAGACCGAGCACCGAAGGTCGAGGAACCACTTCCATGTCTTCACGAACCGTGTCGAGACGAGCACGGAATTACCTTCCTTTGCAACACCTCCGGACGGGCAAGCGCTCCGGATCGAGGGCACTATAACTGAGCTCGTGAGGCGGGCGACGGGGGACGCGCTCAAAGGACTTCCATCCTCATTCCTAGATTGACTCAGATAACCCCGCGACATGGTCCCAGCGAGTGCGGACTGTCTCATTTGAGACGATGTCGGTGTGCCTTAATCAAAGGCTAGTCCTCAAGCAGTGGTGGCCAAATACCTCCAGTCATCGCTGATCCTCCATGCGCAAAGCCCAGCATTTATAACCGTAGAGGAGGATACACTGTACACGTGGATCTTTGTGGCGATGGAGATTTCGCGTCGGATCCATAGACAATCAATGTCGTAGTTGAACGGAGTGACTGACAAGATGCAAGCTTGTCGAGCACCAAATCGGATATCGAATGGTTGGGAGAGACTGTTATGGATGAGAGCTGGCACGGTGGTGGAGTGAGAGTAGGCTTTAATCATAGCGATGAATCAAATCTACACTGACGGTAAAAACGTTACAGATACTCCAATTAATCCCGAGACGACTGGTCTCCAGCTCCTCCTCCTCCTCCTC